AACCAAAAACTCTTAATTTAACAAGTTCCAAGTTCTATACATATTTTATATTTCTTTTGTGTAGAAGCTTTCAAAAGTATAATTTGCAGAATTTGGGAAATTAACATTAACAGAAAATATTGTCAATTGGTTTCTCTCAACTTCTCTCCCTCCCTCCCTTACTGTTAACTCCCTTACTTTCTTTCTTATGCTTTGAATCCTATACTTCTTTTGTGGAAAGGCTAAGTGATATTTTTGAAAAAGAGATCCTCAAGACCAAAACATTCTAGAAGTTTCTTTTATATTTGTAATATTTTAATGATATACTACTTTTTTGACTGATACTTTGTTTTATTTTTTTAAAGAGCTATTTGTTTATGCACATAAGAACTGGGGCATAGGCCAGAGGTGTGGGGAATGAGAGGATTCACTAGAGATAGTGGGGAACAGAACAGGCAGACCAACTGAAATACACTGCTGAGAGGAGCTATGGGAGAGTCAGGAGAGGTCTGCTGCGCCATGTGGGTATCCCCCTGGCCAGGGAGCGAACTCATGCAGCAGTGGCTATGGACAGCTCCGTAGGTTGCGTCCTAACCCCTTGCACCACCAGGGAGGCCCCTAATATGTTACTTTTTTTTTTACATACTAATGCCTTACATCATAAAACATATAATTCATTTTAAATGCCTTTTCAAATGGACTGGATGAAAATGAAATTTGTTATGTCAAAGTATCTCAACTAGGCTTGATAATTTTTAAAAGACAAATTTAGCTTTTTATATTTTTTATTCATATCACTGAACTTCTTTATCAAGTTTTATTGAAAAATAACTGATATACATCCTAAGTGTAAAGCATATGGTATGATGGTTTCATTTACATATTGTGAAATGATTGCCACAATAAATTCAGCTAATATCCACTATCTCATATAGATAGAACAAAAAAAAAAGAGAGGAAAAAAATTCTCCCTGTGATTACCACTCTTAAGATATCCTATCTGTTACAAGGTAACATTAAATTGTAGTCATCATGTTGTAAATTACATCTTATTTATCTTATAACTGGAAGGTTGTACCTTTTGACCACTTTTCTCCAATTCCCCCTCCCTCACTTTCTGCCTGTATTAACCATGTTGGTTCTCTTTATCTACAAATTTTGAATTTGCTTTTTTAAGTTTCCACATATAAGTGCAATAATACATTGCTTATCTTTCTTTGTTTGACCCATTTAAGTTATAGTATAAGGCCCTCAAGTTCCAGGCATGTTGTTGCAAGAAGTCGGATTTCCTTGTTGTGTTTTTTTGTTGATAGCTGAATAATATTCCATTGTATATGTATGCCACAACCTCTTTATACATTCATCCATCAATGTTCACTTAAGTTGTTTCCACATCTTGACTATTATAAATAATGCTTCTGTGGACATGATTTGTTGTTTTTGTTTCCTTCTAATATGTTCTCAGAAGGGGATTTTTAGAGCACATGTCAGTTCTATTTTTAATTTTCCGAGAATCCTCCATATTGTTTTTTTTTTTTTAAGATTTATTTATTTATATAAGCACTGGGTACAGTCAGAAGCATGGGAGGGTGAGAGAATTCACCAGAGCCAGAGCAGGGAGCAGAACAGGCAGAAGGACCAAAGTATACTGCTGAGGGGAGCAGCGGGCGTGGCAGGAGAGGTCTGCGCATCATGTGGGACCCTCGCCCGTGGCCGGGGATTGAACCTGTGCTGCAGAGGTTGCGGGGCAGCCCAGTGCTCAATTTGCAGCCCAGCGCTCAACTGCTGCGCCACCGGGGAGGCCCCATTTTTTTTATAGTACTGCACCATATATGATTTAGAGGTACAGGTTCATATCTCTTTAGCTGAGTTACTACACCATACTCACCACTGAAATACGGGCAGTCCTTTACCATTGTCCATTGTGCTATTTTTCAAATTGTGATTGAGAATCATTGAGTGGTTAAACCAATTCTGTAGATTAAACCTACTTTTATTTTCAGTGAAAGTCAACTTATTATAATAAAACAGAACAGTGTGAAAAATATCAGACTGCATTACCCAGAGAAAGTGTAAGCTTTGCTTTGTGAAACATTTTTAACATGATTGTGTATTCTGAGTTAGGATATAAATCTTGAGAAACAATGATTTCATAATCATGCCTCATTTAGGCCCTGGTAACTGATGGTAGATGGAGAATAGAATTACTTTTCCTATACAGAGTTAGCATAGCAATGTAACTGCTACAAATGTCAATCACATGTTAAAGGTCTCCTCCTGGGTGTGCAATGATAATGGAAGCCACAATGTAGTTGCTATTCTTTGAAGTGGCTTAGGTAGGTGATTTCTCCACTGATGTTTTTTTAAATACATGACCAACTCTGCCACTGTCTGAAATATATTTATTTATATTTATTGCTTGAAACTGAGCATAAATTTGCCTTTTTTCTCCCAAGGAAAAAAGAGACCAAACTGTATTGGTAAGAGAGTGAAGTCTATTTTGTTCCATCTATTGTCATGAAATATTTCATGGTGCCATCTAAATGGGTTGTTTTTTCAGCCTTTTATCATGGACAATTTTGTCAACATCAATAATTAGTTATTCAGAGCATTCAGCTTTTGCTGGAATTAAGCAAACTCTCAGTTAAACACCTGTTTTAAACACTGAGGTCAAACTCTATATACAAACAGGTTCTCCAACCAAAATCTGCTCTTCTCTCTTTGGTTGGCTTTAACTAAAAGTTGCCTTAACTATATTCTTATTTTTTCTGAATACATTTGTGGTTTGAAAATAATTTTGTCTATTTAAAAAGTTATTTTGAGGCAGAAAAGAAGTGAGATTCCTACTTTTTTTTTCTGTCTCATCAATTGCCCTCATATTTCATTGTTAGACATAATTATAACATCATTTAGGTCTCAATAAAATGCCCACATTTCTAAGTCATGATAACAATCCACTGATAAAGTATTTTGATTAGTCACAGACAGCTTTTGTAGATGTCAGCTTGTATTCACTGCTGGCATCTTTTAAGCAATTCAGTTCTTCAGTAACTTCATGTACTTCTTCAGTTAATTACCACTCTTACTGTCAGCCCAGAGATTGAGTTGAGCTGATATATGTCACTCCCCTTTTAGGATGCTAAAGATGATTCCACAAATTCTGAAGGTAGAAGTTGTGATGCTTGTAGAAGTGTCTATAGCTATTTCCTATTTGCATGAGGAAGGCCAGATAGTCACATACTTTCTACTTTGTTTAGAGATCCTCAGTCCCCTTTACCAAAAACTTTGTCTCCATCAAACTAACATAGCTACAAATGGAAACCTATGAGAAATTTACTCCTGAAAATTGGACATTTTTTGCAGGAATTACCCAAGAATAAAATTACTTCAAAAAAGATTAGCATTCATTAATCATTATCATCTCAAGAAGATTGTGTTCCTTTTCTTTAAAGAGTAAAACATGTTTATAGGAAGAGGAAGGTCTCGACTCCTATTCTAGATGGGCCATTTTCTAGGTATGGTACCGGTAAAGTCACCTACTTTTCCCATCCACTCTTACTCAAGAGTAAATTGGACAGATAGAAGACAGGTGCAGAAAGAGAAACAGTATTGTGTTGGGAAAAAGAACACAGACCCTGGAACAACACTGTCTGGGTTCAGATCGCACCAAACCACGGCTGAGTGAATGACCTCACTGTGCTCACCACCTCATCTGTAATAAGGGAATTATAATGATAGAAAATAACTATGAATAGGTGATTGTAAAGGACAAATGCATTAATACATGGGAGGCACTTAGAACAGTACTGAGCACAGAGTAAACACAACAGAACTACTGGAGATTACTGATTCTGCTTTGGAAGCTGAAAATGCAACAATCATGTAGTAGACCTTATGACACTTGGACATTCACAGTGTCCTGTGAAAATGAAGCCTTCCTCGTAAGTTTTGATGGAACATGTATGAAGGGAATAGGTCCAATACATGACAAGAACATCTAGGTGATAATATAATGGGGGCACTCTGAGTTCCTGAAAGTAGCAAAAAATAGTTCAGTAAAGAGCAAGGATTTGCACTACAATGGCAGAGAGGGCTGAGAAAATGTTGAGAAGTATATACACTTGACAATTTTGAAATTTCAAATTTGAGTTGGCTCACATTTTAGTTGCTGCTTTCTCATATGTAATGAACAATGCATCAGGCCATAATGAAAACACTTTTGAAGACTGAAAGATTTTCAACACCTTACGTGTATATTTATCTTCTTGAGTCACATTTTAGCCTACTCCATCCTACCAGGAATAGTTCTGATAAATGAAGCCTGTAAATCATATGCATTTTTTAAAATAACCTACCAGAAATTATACAAATAAATTTAAGTTTTTCTTCAAAGCAAATACCTTCATTTAATAACTAAAAATTATTATAAATTGATGGTAAGCAAAAAATATAACTTATAACACTGCCATTGATCCAAATATTTTTAGAAATTTTACTTGAATTACTTTGAGTTAGTTTTGAGTGACATGAAGAAATCAGTCCTATTAATTTTATAGTTACGCTTCTTCATTGCATATTTACCAGTTGGATTTCCTATCCTGAGGGTTTCTAGGATGAAATTAAGACAACCAACCTAATTCCTTTTACACCTGTTATAAAAGCACCTTATTTCCCCCAAAGAATTTATTTAAATCAATGATCAAACAACTCTTTCTGTACAGGTTCACATAATGAAAAGTTCAGGTTTTGTGGACCATCCTACCTCTGTCATAATTACTCAGCTTGGCAGCTGGAGCTTGAAAGCAGTCAGAGACAACATATAAATGGATGGGCATAGTGATGTTCCAATAAAACTCTGTTTACAAAAAGAGGTGGTGGGCAGAGTTTAGCCTTTTGGTTGCAGTATTCAGCCTCTGATTTGACCCCTCAGATATTGATGAGAACAACTCTCTTTTTGTTCAGAATAAGGACTGAAGGATGATATAACGTAGTACTAGGCACATGGCAGACAATCAACTCACCTTTTTACTCTCCTAGTGGTTGCAACATATTGGAATCACATGAGCATGGACCCAGAAGATCGTTCAAGTTTTGGCAGCAACTAGCTGTGCAATTCTCTAAGCATCGTATCTCTCATTTGTGAAATAGGACCATCTTTTATCACTGTATGGGACACTAGAAATCGTAAGTATGGCAGAGTATGAAAATTCTGGCCACAGAGAAGGTACCAAAACAATGACAATGTTTCAAACTCTCTCTAAAGATTTCCATTTCAAAAGGTTGTCTGAAATCTTTATATCCCAAACAGCAGATAGATCACTCTTGTTATTTCTCCTCAACAGTAGCATATTTTGGAATTCTCAATTGTTTATTTGCTAGAAATTAAGTAGCATTTCTTTCTCGGGCCTCACAGAACTTTAGAACTGAAACCAACTGTCAAGATCAGCCATCATTCTCATTTTACAGATAAAGAAACTGAGCCTCCTAGAGATTAAATGACATTCCTAAAGTCACTTAGCAACTCAGGAGAAGGGTTCAGACCAGGACTCCATGCACATGATTCTCTGTCCAGCATTTTCATACTATAAAACTCACCCTACTTCAGTGGTTTTCATACTCAGTGAGGCTGGAAGGAAGTTCTGCCCTCTGGGCCATCTGGCTATGCAAATACACACTTCCTACCGCAGAGGACAAGATGTGGCCAATCACAGAGAAGAAAGTTCAGTGAAAGGAGAGGATTTCTCTTTGCACCCCTACTTTATCAAGTCAGACATTTAAAAGATAGACTGGCTGACCTCCATTGCTTGAGACAGGTTTCAGTGACATCACGGAATGTGTGCACTTGCATTCTGTAGGGCTGCACCCTATAGAGCCCATGACACTCTACACACTGTTCTTCCCTGCTGATATAACTTAGAAAATGTCACTGCACAAACCATGTGGCATATATGGCATTTGGAACACATTGAACAATGGTATGACATTTTGAGCTGCTGAAAGCCGAGCCACATGGTGTCTATACTGTCCGGATCGTAAATAACATCCCTCTCTTGTTCTGCCCTCCCCTATTGATTCTCAACCCTCCTTTCTTCTATTACTAACTGAAAAAATATTTTCTTCCTTCCTAAATGAAGTTCCTTGACTGGAATTTCATTAACATGAAATCCCATCTTCTTCATAGCATTTGAATACATTCTCTTTTTGTTTTGCTTCTCTCTTTTTTTATCACTACTTTTCCTATAAAGATAAATGTATGAATTGAGGAGCTCTTCATATAATTTTCCAAACAAAGAAAACTCCTTTTACTAGGATTAGAATCTTTACCATTTACACACACAAGCACACACACACACACATGCATACACGTCATATATGACATGTTTTTGTCATTGCCAGTATTCTCTAAAAGTTTATTATATATGCTACACATGCTAAGGGCCATCTCTGTAAGAGATTTTGGGAGAATGATTTTAAAAATGTTGTGTCTGTACATTTTCTTATTGCTAGGCAATTTAATTAAACTGGTAAAATTTAGCTTCCTTGCTAATTGAAATGGCTGTTAAAGTGCAGTTTTAAAGTATATTTATTTTTACAAGTATTTAATTTTATGCCAATTTGCTTTCTGGCCATCTTTCACATTGGTTTTTCTTTGGATTAAAATAATCTGGCAATTACATACCTCATAAAAATCATATGTATAGTCATGTATATTTGTAAGGAGCAATGAATATACTTTCCCTTTCTCATTTATGCTTTAAAGAATCTTTAGTATTCTAAGCACAACTGTTAATTGATGAGTGATTGAGGAATCAGTAGACTAAGGAACCATGTAGACCCTATATTAGTTATACATCACAGCATATTTTCCCTCTATATCTGTCTGAAAATTTCAAGTTAGAAAGTATGCAGATGATATTGAATCACTTGTGGTATGGCCAAGCTGCCACTTCATCACAGACTCTCATCCCAACACCACATTTTCCATTAGGATGTTTCCATCAGGATCAAGTTCCTCTTCAGGGATAAGAACTGCTCATCTTGTCTTCCTGTTCTTCATAAAGGCAGCTTGAAAGAGCCCATAATCAGCAGAGTTATCAGTAGCTGATTTAGTTCCTTCTAAATGTATTGGTAAAAGAAAGACCTGGGGGTCATTTTAGCCACTCATTCCTGATACTCCCTGTCGCAACATGCTCCCCCATCTCTGTACTAGAGTACTTAATATGCATGTATCCGGTACCAGTTCAAATAAATTGAGCAGTTTCAAGATTGTACTCTGCCCTAGAATTCAAAATCAAGATTTTAATTATGTGTAACAGAGTACAGAATGAAAAAGCAGACCACTTACTGAGTTAAATCAGTAAAACATCAACAATAAAAATACATTACTTAAAGCATCCAAATAATAAAGTTGGAAGATTTGGGGTTTGATTATCAATAATAATTCAATTGAAATTGACTCTGTAAAACTTTTAAGCATACAAGAATACAAAGTACAAGAATAATTAATTTTCAGGAATTTGTTCATTATCTAAAGTTATTTTCCCCACTGTACTTTAAACTATAATCTTAAAATTGTCTGCAATCCAAATCTATGAAACCCCAGCTATTTAGTGCCAATAGCTACATTTTAATACTTTTTGCTGTATTAATTTGTGAAAAATCATCTCTTATTTGCAATTTATGCAGCATTTTGCTTTGTTTCATTAATCTGTGTTAAAACATATTAAACACTTATTTTAGTGTAAATTCTTCTATGTTGAGGTATAATTTTATATGAAAATACTTGTATATCAACTCTTGATCTAAAATAAAACTACATGCATTTACATTTATGCTAAAGTTTTGGAAGCACTTTGGAATTCAACTAGAATGATAGAGATTTAAAAACAGGAAATTTTGGAAAATAAATCTTACTATTAATAGTTCATGAAAGCCCTAATCTAATGCTGTAAAGGATGATGGCATGAAGCAAAGGCAAGCAGCTATTGCAATTTAAAATTATATTTCCATTAGCACTTTGTAAAGAATCTGTTTTTATCTGACTTGCTAATAAGACAAAAGTTTCTGAAAGAGCAGACTTTGAAAATATTTGTGAAACAATAAAGAAGTAAAAGAAAAAAGAACAATCTGAAAGTCAATAGGTGCTAAAAAGAAAAAAAAAGTGAACATTATAAAACACCTTTTCAAAGGACTTCTAATGTACAATATTTAAATACAAACAGTAACTAGTGTTACACCAGCTGCTCTCAGGTTTGCAAAATATATCAAAGTACAGCATATTGGAATGAGTCCTGAGTTTCCATTTACTTTATCTATCCAGACACATCAATTCTTTTTACTCCAGCCTGATAAAGTGGAACTGCAGCAGACAAATGAGCTAGTGGAGCTGACATAATGTGTTTGTCACAAAGAAGCGCTGGATAAAAAAGCATGACTTTGATCCTCAATGAGGTTACTATTTTACAGTACCATGAATTTAATTCTAACTTGATGCCTTAAGTCACCGTCCACTCTTTATTGGCCAAAGTTTATTCCCATCTCATCAACAACTTAACTCCTACCATCCTCATACAAGTAAAACTCTAACCTAAAACCCCAAAAGAAAAAAAAAAAGATGGAAATTTACAAGCAAAGGTTTACTAATAATCTTTGTAACATGATAAAAACTACCCTGAGTTAGATATTAGAGCTTAACTAGCAGGCTAATAACTACTGTTCATAAACCCAAGGTGTGAGGTGGTAATTTTAATGGAAGCTTGATTTGTACTTCAATGATGATACATAAAAGATGACAGAAAATTATTGCTTTGTGAATTACATAAATATATAAATGTGATTTTTGAACATTTCAGACATGAAAAAGCTATTCATTTTTCATAAACACTTGAATATATTCAAGATTAAACTTTTGGTTTGAGTTCTGAATGACATGAAACATTTCTCTATTTCATCACTGGGCTCCTTTATCCAAGTAAATTAATTCAGCAGCTTTTCTTTAGCCCATCAGACAAATAAAAATGCCATAGGTGGAATCTATCATTGGTGGAGAGGCATAGGGAAATACAGAACTATGGGCTCCTAGTGACCAGTCTTCCCTGCAGATGAGTAAACACTGACTTGAACACTTGCAATAGGGAGCAAGAGTCTCTCTCTGACACACAGTATTGCAGCTTCACAGATTTCTTTCTTTTTATTTTTTTATAGTTTGTGGATCATTAGCCCAACAAATGAAGAAATGAAATGTGATAAATAAAAATTGGTACTGTGAATGCAAATCAATAAATTAATCCCAGTCTGGCCATAAAGTACATGTTAACATAATGGGATGCAAGCAGGAGAAAAATATTGTCCCTGCCAGAAATCTTTAACAATCAAATGTTTGGCAGAAATGTTATAAAAAATTTATAACACTGTCAAAGTTCTACCTTGGGTTAATTGCTACTAAGATAATTGAAATTTATGCCTGTTCATGCTCTTTTAATTAATATTTTTATGGTATTTTTGAAGATTAAGTATTAATGATAGACAGAGATTTAAAACACACATTTTCATCTTTTCCCACAATATCTTGAATTACAGTCACACTTTTGGCCATCAAAATAAGAAAAAAAAAAACCCTGTACTCTGTAAATCCATGCACAATCTCAGTTTCTTCATCTTTGGACAAACTTATATTAACAAGGATACAGAGGGAATTGGACTAAATTTACTATGGAGAGGAGACTTAACAGCTCTGAGACAAAAAAGTCTGGACATGTAAAAAATGTCATTTCATTCTTGCTTTTTCTGAAGGAACAACTGGTAAGCTTTGGTTAGCTGAGAATTACTTTAAAGTTGAATTTATATGCCACACCATGAGCAAGGGATGCCACCATTCCCCACAGACATTACCAGCTTGCAAACTGATGTCGAGGACCAAGATGACCACTAGTACATATCCAAGTGCCCCAGAGTAAGTCCTAGAAGGCACCAAAGATGGAGGTGAGAGGTAACCAGGTACTAAACACCTGTGCTTTCTGAGCGCCCCGCAGCATTTTGACCAAAGATGTTGTGATTGCCCATGGGGTAGAACAATGAAGCAACAAAGCCAGTAAGAGCTGAAGCAAGTTGAAAGATGATTCAGGATAACAAGCTTCATGCTAGGTTCATGCTCTAGGGGACCGTACTAATGCCCAAATTTCTGTCTGACTGGGTGAGCGGGGCCCTATCAAATGGATTACTCCCAGCTTTTCATGCTGTGTCATCTCTGTCCCCTCTCAAGCAGCAAAAACATTCTCTTGGTAAAGGCTATGGTCAGTAAATAAAGCTTCTCTGGGACTATAGCTGGTGAAATTGCTCTTAAAATTTTAACACAACACTGTGGTGTTAATTATCAAGTAGCAATAATCAAACTACTGTGCTCATAAAACTTGATCTGTCAGTATTATTGTACTTTTGTAAAATATGGAATTGAAATCAAGAAAGAGTATAAAACTTTTTTATAGTCACTCAGTAAGTGGCAGAATTAGGACACAGGTCTCTTATACAGGTTTCAGTGTATTTCTAATGTACCCCACTGTCCCACTGCCACTGCCATTGTCATATTTGATAGTTATCAGTAATGACAAATTACTAGACATAGAGTTAGTGAGGTTGATAGAATACAAACCGCAAAGGGAACCTGAAAATGGTAGAGAAACTTAGTTCTCTTTATGGTTATGTTACTGGTGAGACTCAACACAGCAAAATAACAAATCTCAGATATGAAAAGTTAAGAGAAGCTACTTGCTCATTTCACTCATTTTCTTACAAGTAGAATACTGCATGATTAGAAACATCCTTTTTAAAAAATTGAGAAGTTTGTGGACTTATCAAATAAGAAAATAACATCTATGTTTTTTTCAATTTATTTATGTAGTCATTGAGAATTATAATTAGACTTAGATTAAATTAATGGCTCTTCAAAAGATAACTGAAAATAAAAAGTACTCACCTGTTAAAGCTTCAAGTCCAGGGAAACGTGTATTAAATAAATGCGTCTTTGAATTCATTTAACTGTTTTAAAGTGAAGCCTGACATCCTGTGGTGTCCCCAAATAATACCTGTTTATTTGAAAATAGAAATTTTTAATTTGATTGTTATGCTTGGATTGACAATTCTCCACATATGATTAGAAAACATTTCCTAGAATGCAGTCACAGTAGTTAGCAATTACGGGGATTAATATGTTGAACCTTAATTCTATGAGTCAGATTATATTGATAATTGTGATCAGAGTTTATCTAGGCAATTAAAAGTAAGGTCCCTTTTCTAATACTATCCTCAAAGCTTATGTGAAGGGAATGCTTTACAGATACAATTGTCACCCAGTAAAATACTTTACTGTATTAGTTACAAAACTCAGTATTCATAGGTTTCCCAGCACGGTCCACACTGACATAAGTGATTCCAGTGAGGGTTCACCATTGTCATTCAGGTTCCCAAATCAGAAAAGATGGTGCACTGTAGTTGTGGTGTCACTAATGAGGCATGAATGATGAGAAGTGCCTTGTAAACAAAGGCATAGGCATTGTATAAAGACCCTGGAAGAATCAGGCCTGCATCAGTGTCAGTCTTATATGAATAAATAGAAATGGCAGGTGCCTGACTCTGCACCCAGATGACATCAAACTCTACAGCAAAGTACACTCTATATTCAGCCAAAGCATTCTGATTGCCATTTCACACCAATAATGAGATACGTACAGTAAATATCCATTCTAATTTTCCTTGAAGATAATGTTATGCTACAAACAACATCACTTTCAGCCTATTCAATATACTTCTTTGTTGTATTCTCTTCTTAAGATTCTTTCATAGGATTATGTATCAGAAACATATCAACATCTTACACTAAAATCAATAGGTGCAATTTAAAGTTTTTTAAAATGTTGAACTATCATGAAATATGCCTACTTTCGAAATCTGCTAATTATACATAGAATTTCATTGAAAACAGAGATTATCACACAGGGTTAGTTCTCACGTGCTTGACTACTTAACAGGGCAGGCTGTCATAAATCCTTAGGGATTTCCTTTAAGAAAAGATGCGTTGATTATTAAAAAAAAAAAATTGTGGCAGACAGTGACATCTTGTGGAAGAAGCAATCATGAAAAATAAGGTTTTTTTTTTTTTTTTCTAAAAATTCATATAAAAGCAAACTTTACCACATAAATGTATTAGGTTAGCAATTTTTTTTCTTTCTTGAATTGGTTAATTATATGTGCTTAGAAATGATGTTTATGTGGAGGTTAGGTTTCAAGGCAAGCTCACAAAACCCTACCTACCTTGCAATGAGATTATGAAATGTGGTTTGATTTCAAAAACCTTAATTATAGAGTCTTAGAGCTGAATCGCATTTTGTTCCTATCTGGCCCTGTAACATATGAGGAAACTGAGGCCCCAAGTCATTAGGAAACTTCACAACAGTCAGGGCTGTATAATGATAATTTAAGGCTAGAATGAATACCTCAGATTCTTTAGGACATATTCTACTGTATGATGAATAGCTCATCCTGGAGGATTTTGCAATTATGTGGCATTTAAACCCCATAGATAGCAATGTTTCTTTGATAAAATGAAGTCAAAGTTCCAGAGTGTAATGCTGACATTTTGAGTCTGTGGTCTTATCTGACATTGCATCCTGGGTAGAGACAGTAAATTTCTCTCATCAATTCAACTAATGCTAGGAAAAAGGTTCCATTTCTTATTCACTGGTGGTGATTCCCACAGAAGCTGGCTAAAGCCAAGTGGGAATTAGAAGAATTTAAAGGGAAAATGAAATGAATTTTCCTTCTGTGAAGAGTGTGGTAACTAAGGTTTCATCAAGTTAGAAACACACAGATTGTGTTTGCCACCTGGCCATCTGTTCTCTGAAGATGGCATCCAGGAAAACAAAAGAGAACACACTTCTGGAGGAATTGACCCATTGAGTATCGATTGCTCCACTATGATGTTTGGACTTTTCTAAGCAAATGCCAATTTTTTTTTTGATGGCTCAGGTGAATCAAAAAATATTCCCATACTCTAACAAGTCATTGGGTATGAAAAAGATCGTATCTTAATTTTAACATATCCTTTCTTTCCCCAAAACTCCATTGTATTTCCACAACTTGTTTTATTCTGACTTGGACATCATCAATCTGGAACAATCATTTTACCAAAATTCTCACCGTTCTCTTATTTTCCAAATTCAATTATTAAATCCCATTGAAGTCTTATACTCTGTTTTCCTCTTAAAGTAACAGTCATTATCAATATACATATTTGATACAATCACTCCAATGGTGCATTTTCTCAAAGATGGTGCCAAAAGTAATGTTATTGGGCTCCCCACCAAACCAAGATGAAGCCAAAGCAAAAGACTTGAAAGCCACAAAAGCAGTGATAAAAGGTACCCACAGTATAAAATAAAAGAAGATCCACACATCACCCACTTTCCAGTAGCCTAAGATGTGATGGCTCTGAAGGCCCCAAATGCCCTTGGAAGAGCACCCCAGGAGAAACAAGTTCGACCACTATGCCATTTTCAAATCCCTCTGACCACCAAGTAAGTCATAGAAATCTAGATGATAACAACAAACTTCTCTTCACTGTGGATTCAGGGCCAATAAGTCCCCTACCAATATACTCTACGACACTGGCGTGGCCAACATCAACACCCTGATCAGACCTGCAGGGAAGAGGAAGGCATGTGTTTGACTGGCTCTTGACTATGGTGTTGCAAGCGACAACAAAATTGGGATCATCTATACTGAGTCCTACTAGCTAATTCTAAATATATGTTTTTTTACCATTAAAAACAAATCCCAATGACAATTTCAAAGAAATAAAGCAAACATTATTGAAATTTGTATGGACCACAAAAGATCCAAAATAGCTAAAGTAATTCTAAAAAACAGAAGAGAGGTATTATGCTCCCACACTTCAAACTATACTACAAAGAGTATGTTATTTGAATAAAAAAATAAACCCATAACTCAATGGAAGAGAACTGAGAGCTGACAGTTAATTTACAAGAAAGGAGGCAAGAATATAAATGGAGGAAGCAAAGCCTCTTAAACACAAAGTATAGGGAAAACGGGAGAGCTATGTGCAAAAGAATGAAACTGTACCATACCATAAACAAGAATTATTCATAATGGATCAAAATTTTGGACATTAGATTTGAAATTATAAAATACATACAAGAAAACACTCCATGACATGGTTTCATGGATGGCTTTGGGGGTTTTATTATAATTGCAAGGGAAATAAAAGGAAATAATAAATAAACATAAATAAACAATGAATAACTAATTAAATAAATAGGACTTCATTGAATTTAAAAGATTCTGCTCAGCTAAAGAAAAAAAAATCATTAAATAAAAAGACACCCTACTGATTGGGAGAAAATATTTACACATGATATATATCCAAGATGTACAAGGGGCTAATATCCAAGTTGTGCAAGAACTCAATAAAAAGAAAACAAAAAACATAATAATAATAATAATAATAATAAATGACAAAAGTGCTAAATAAAACTTCATCAGAGAAGACATATAGATGGTCATTAGGCACTTCATCACTTATTGTTAGGGAACTTTACCCCTATGTTTATTGCAGCACTATTTATAATAGATAAAATCTGGAAACAACACAAATGCCCAAAAATAGATGACTGGATCAAGAAGATGTGGTATTTATACACAATGGAATATTACTCAGCAATCAAAAAGATAAACTCATGCCATTCACAGCAACGTGTATGGAACTAGAAGGATTTATGCTCAGTGAAATAAGTCAGAATGAAAAAGAAAAATATCGGATGGTTTCACTTATAGGAGGAATATAGGGGAATCAAATAAGACATCAGTGGAAAAATAACAATAACAATACAAAACACAACAAAACAAAAACAGACAATTATAAACCAGAGACATCCTACAGGGAGGAGGAGAGAAAGGGATCAGAGGGAGGGAGGAGCACAGGGGACTGAGGTGATGGTGCACAGGTGCATTGGTGAAGGACTACACCTGAGAGGGGGCGGGAAGCAAATATTGTTTAAAAAGGAACAATGATGTAAAAAAATAAATTAAAAATAATTGATTTTTAAATAAAAAAAAAAACACAAAGAGATAATACCACAAACCCATAAGAATGGCTCATATCAAGAAGACCAGAAATAATGTATTGGATGTTGAAAAAAAGGAAATCTCTTACACTGTTGGTAGGAGTGTAGACTGGTCAAGCCACTATGAAAAACAGTAGGGAAATTTCTCAAAATATTAAAGGTAGATCTGCTATATGATTCAGCAATTCCTCTCTGGTATCTATACAAATAATACACAAATCCTAATTCAAAGGGATATATACACCCTTATGGTCAATACAGACCTATTTATAGTAGCCAAGGTATGGAAACAACCTAAGTGTTCAATAAGATTAAGAAGATATGCTGTATATACACAATGAAATATACTCAATTACAAAACCAAACAAACCAAGTCATGAAATCTTGCCATTTGGGTGAAACTGGAGGGGATGATACTAAGCAAAATTAATCAGACGATGAAAGACAATGCTGGGTGATTTCACTCATATGTGGAATATTGAGAAACAAAACAAAAGAACAAAATTAACCAAAACAAACCTTGAAATATTACCAGAATGGGGTGGGGAGCAAAGGATGAAGGGTTTCCCGTGCACTTTAGTGGAAGATTATGAGCGCTTTGGTGATAGACAGGTTGTAATACATGTGAAGAAGTGTGAACTTAATACTTCTAAAATTCATACAAGGTTCAAACCAACATCACTTCAATACAAACAGTTTAATTAATATATGCAAAATAAAATAGAAAATTGGCTTTTAATTTTCTATTCAAAGGGTTTTCTAGGATCATGACCACATTCAGTAACTCACATATGGTGAATGAATGTGTGACAACGGTAAGACACTCTCTTTCCAGGGCTTTCCATTGCATTAGGCAAGGCTTTGCTGCATCTGCACCTTAGTTTAACTTCTCTCTTTGCCTAATACCTGTTTACTCCTCTTCTTTGTAAGTAGTAAAATTT